CCCCCCCGCCATAACCAACTCTCCACTACTACACCCCTTTCCCTCCCCTTGCCCTTCTCTCCCAATTTCCTCTCAGAAATGATTGACAAACTTAGATTAATGGAATCGTTTAAAATTCTATAGCTTCGACAGAGAAAGAAGAAAAATTCAACTTATGTGAAAATGACAGTTTAATAGGCACTTATTCGACATAAGGTATTAGATATTCAAATTAAAATGTAATTTTTGGGACGCTTACCTAAACAAATGTTTTTCTTCGGGCTTTAGCTGCTGCAAAGTCACTGATTATACCACTAAAGTCAAGAGTTTGTAAGAGTTCGTTCTCAATATAGAGCAGAGCGGAGGAATTAAGAAAGTCTTGCTTCTTGGTTGTCTGCAAATGATTTTTCACTCGTTTAAGAACCGAAAACGACCTTTCACCAGTGCAGTTGGTGACAGCCATACACAAAAAGATACGAAGACTTATATTTACATTTGGATAGTCTTCAATTCGATTTGATTTTAGAAACTTCAAAAGAGCTTGGGGATTGCCAAAATCTTTGACAGCATTTGGATCCATTTCTTTGTATTCTTCCAGGAAAAAGGCGAAACAGACGCATTCCTCCGGAAAAGTTTTGTCAAGATCGTCGCTATATTTTTCTTGAAGTTTTTTTGCATGCTTTGAGATATCGCTTTTATGTAAATTCAGCAGATTCCATAAAAATCCAAAATCTTCATTAAGATCTGAATAAATTTTTATCTTGTCCGACAAACTGGTACAGATTTTGTCGAGAGCTGCATAATATACATTGAAAATGAATGACTCTCGACCGGAGAATTCTGTATGATTTTTGGTACTTTCACCGAATGGAAGTTTTGGTTTCGTCGACCTGGATTGATCTTTTTTGTATTCATTGGAGCCACACAGTTGTTTAGCTTCTTTTTCAATCTTACTAAATTCATTTTCATTACGCAAAGACGTCCCAAAAGCTTTTAAGGAAACATACAAGTTTAGCACACTTTGTAAGTCCAAGCCTTCTGTTTGAAGTTTTTTGCTGTAACGATGAAATTTGTCTAAAACTTTGTTCCAAAAAAGCAGCAGTATCGCAGTTTCAAGCTTTTGAAGTTGCTTAGCGATGGAATTTGCCTCAACCCGTGCAGTTGAGGGCTGGTCTGGATTTTCTCCAATTTCGGTCAACGCAGAAATTATTTCACGGTAAGACTTGAATATAGCTTTACTTGCGTCAGAACGAGCACTCCATCTAGTATCCGACAGTGCCTTAACAGTGTAAGCATCTTCAGGTAAATGGCGTATTAACACTGCCCATCTCTCAGTGGAGGCGGAGAAAAAAACGTAAACATTTTGCTCTAATAAAAAGAATTCAACGGATTCTGGGCTGCTGTCAGCTGCTCCCGTTCCAACCAGCTGTAATGAATGACCTGAGCAAGGCACATAATCTGCTGTGGGACTAATTTCTTTAATTCTCGTTTGCAATCCTTGGTAGCAGCCAGACATATTACTAGCATTGTCATAGCTCTGACCACGACAATTTTTCATACTTATACCTAAGGATTCGATCTCACCAACAATTGATACAAACATATGTATGCCTTTATGACCGGTATTAGCCATAAAAGTTATAAAACGTTCCACAGGTGATCCCTCAGGCAAGACATAACGAATAATCAAAGTCAGCTGATCTTTTCTAGAGTAATCAGGCGTTGAATCCACCACTATGGAGTAATACTTGGCTATGAGTATTTCCTCTATGATTTTACTTTTCACTTGATCATGAAGCAGTAAGTGAACTTCCCGAGTGATGGTAGAAGACAAATAAGATGGTGTGCCACTCCCTTTGTTGCCATATCTCACTAAATGATCCGCCATAAATGGATCAAATTTTGAAATGAGTTCAATACAGCCGAGAAAATTGCCATTTCGTGAAGAGCCAAGCTTTTCGTTGTCGCCAAACAGGGGTAATCCACGAGAAGACAAAAATTTCAACGTTTCAACAACTCGCTCCAACACCTTCTTCCAATACTCAACGTTTTTATCATATTGTTTGAGCACTTGGGAGTCAATTCTTTCCAACTTTTTTTCTCGAGTGATAAATTTAACTAAACATTGTTGATGGTCACGCGAATTTTCGTGCCCAGCTATTCCACCGACATTTCTCCAATCGTTGAACCCACTTGTAGCAAATAAAGAGGAGCCTCCATAAAGTTTACACGGACCACAGTAAACATGCCCATTAGAGGGCGAATACACCAACCAACTCCGTTTGACTGTTTCTTCATTCGTCATTTTCTTCATAAAATGACTTTTAGAGAAATGTCGTCGATGATCTGGGTAATGCCGTGCCGATTTTGAGAAATCTTCATCGTCATTTTGCTTAAGACCATTCTGTGCTATATAATCTCTTAATTCTTCATTGATGATCCAACAAGCAGGGTCATTAGATATCTGAGTCGGTTGAGGTTGTACTGCACGAAGCTGGCCAGTCGCGGAATTTTCTGTTGCCGGCACCGAATTGTTTGAACAGTCCCCTCCCCCTCCTTTTTCGTTTTCTGGAGCCGTATTAGGGTCTGTTGTTTGCTCAGTCGTTGAAGTTTCTGAACTTTCAAGATTTCTTTCTGAGACATCAGTGGATTGACTTTTGTAAAATGTAGTTAGTTTTGGAATTTTAGCCAACAATTTCTCATTCTTTACGATGGTTTCTTTTGCGCGTTTTCTGAATTCAGAGCCGCTGGGTTTGTCGCACATGTTGAACAGCACTTATACGTTAGTTTCTCTACACAAAATTGGTTTTTGTTTGTTAGTTTTTTTTTTTTTAAGCAGAAAGAAAAGATAAGAAATCGCGCCGTGTACCAGAGACCACAACCACACTATCAAACAAAAAGCGAGTAATTTATTCTGAAAAGATAAAAGAGTTACGAAAAAGTACCATCGCCAAAAACAGTAGAGCAGTGCATATTAAAGAAAATTCATCCATACTGTGCAAACGTAAAACTCGGGAACACTGTAAAGACAGGTGACAGGACAACATCGAAGCACAGAATCAGCACGAAGTGACACGAAACGGAACTGCCATATCGAATTAACATTTGATCACCAGCGAACACGAAATAGAGAGGATTCACAAATTTACGGTTTTCATTTCACATGATTACTAAATCATGTCGTGTAGGTTGTAGGTAAAATAATAACAGAACATCCGCAAACATTGTACATTGTCAAAGGAAAGAACTTAAAAAGACACACGCACTACCTTAATGTAAAGATTCTAATCAAATAAGAATGGAAATGACACGCGCCCGGCAGTAATTAAAAAGTTGCAAAAACTGACACCTGACCGGCTGTCTGCTCCCGTGCACCTCCACCCGTCCCGCGCCTATCCCCACCACAACAGAACGCTGGAGCCGCAGTGAAAGATCTCGCGATCGCTCTTGACCTTGACCAGTCAGCCTCCAGGCAGACGCAAACAGACAGGTTCATCCCTGCCATTTCGTTTGTCCCGGGCATACAGGCAAGTAGTGGTTTCGGCCAAAGTGGCGTTTCTTCTCATTGTTCTGAAGCCCAACGAGGGGGCGCTCAGATTTTTCCTCACAATTTGTGCCGCTTCGGTTGGAGAATATTTTTATTTTCTCTCCTTTCTCATCCTTGGCAGCAAAATCCAAAATTTGGCGCCCCCCAAAATTTGGCGCCCCAAGCCGCGGCTTGATCGGCTTGTGGGGAAATTAGGCCCTGCACATGATGGTTTCCGCCTGATCACTTCGGGGTGTCAGCAACCTTCTAGTCCGAGCTTCATAGTCGTGTACATATCGCTTCCTTCGAAGGTTAATATGGCACCCACCTAGCAGGCATGCTGTTAGAATAAAAATAATGAGAGCTGATAGCCCGAATATTAGAGGCCAAGACATGTATGTGCCCATAATAGGTACCACATTGGTGAGACGTTGCTTGCTGATCGCTTCCAGCTGAGAGATCTCATACTGGAGGCCATCTGCTAATATCCCGGTGTAGTTTGTTACATTCACCACACCGATAGGATAGGAGACTGTTAGTGTCCGCAGCTCGAAATGAGATGTGCGGCTATTGATCTCATGGTCACCCAGGTGGATATAGCTGAAATTGCTGTATGGAATATATCCAGATCTCTGCGTTGTAGTCACCCTTTTTGCCGCAAGCTGCCCGAATCTACGATAAACACGAATATCATCGCATCCATTATAGATTACTCCCGACCGAATCATCTGGAATTTGCAGTCATGGGTCTGGTGCTGAACAGTAGTGATACAGGAGGGTGAGTGAGTGCCTCTTAAAATCTCATTGAGGCAGAGAGCTGGTGCATCAATAGCAGAGTCACGTATACTACAAATGTACACCCCTCATTTGTGGCGACACTTCTCTATCGCTGGTGTAGCTACATGTTGGTCGTTATTGTTTTTAGCGAAATAGAATAATTCTGGTAGTAGATACTTGAAATAATGATCCGAATCCCAATAACCCATATTAGTGACTCTATACATCGGAGACACATCATCTGCCTTGATGACAGGGATTGCTACCAGGAACATTAATGTTCTAGTGTTCTTAATTGCCCTAGTCAAAAATGTCGGGGATGCCCTGTATATCATTCCAATATCCTTATGGTATACAGAGTCCTTAAACATCGGTAACTTAAGAATTTCTGATCTGATGTACTCAGGAGTCAATATGAAACTGGTAAGCTCACCATCCATTCCTTTTGTTATTGAGTCTTGAGCCACTTCGTTGTAATGCATGAGATGGAGTTTTGTATTCAACTCAGTAGCTGATGAGACTCCGCTACACCCTAATTTTTGAAGTGCTAACTCGACATTCTCAGATCCATGCCAGATTTTTTGGATAATATTGCTGGACAGCTTCTTGTATTGGCTATCCGATTCATCTAGTGCCATAAGCGACTGGTCTAACTTAGATAAGTGAGTATCAACTTCTTGTAGATGTTCCTTGATCTCAGACATCGTCAGGTAATGGTATAGTTACTTATTCTTGGCAGGTACAGCCTGCTGTGCAAGCTACGGTACAGAACCGTTTGCCCCTGATTTCACGATCAGGAAATCTCTTTGGCATTACCTAGTGTACTGCTGGTAAAGTTACCACTTGCACACACGGGTAGCAAACCAGAAATAGCTAAGAAGCTAGTAGGTAGTAGTAAATCCACTTGTTCGTTAGTTTTTCACACTCAGAGTCCAAAGCGTCGTCTATCGTTTCTTTCTTTTTCCAAACGTTAGAAACAACACATGTATTTATGTGCAATTGACTAGTTTCTTGCCCTATAATTTTTTTTAGAGAAACCCTGCCAATCACGGACACCGTTTATCCACGCAGAATTAAAATGTTGTGATTCTCGATCTGCGAACAGCCAACAAGTTTCGCAGCAAGCAAAGTCTCTGCTAGGGGGAGTAGCAAAGCCGTTCTCTTTTCATTTTAAGTTCGGCTTTTATTGCTTTTCTATAAAACTTTTCGGAAAAGGAACGATTATTCTGCATTGGGTCTTTCGGAAAAGGCCCTTTAGGCTTACAAGAACCATTATTTAAAATGAGTTTTTTTTTAAAGTATTGCATAGTCTAATGTTTTATTTAAACATTTACCACGATCTGTTTGATAATTAATGTCACTAGTACCAACGCCAATCAATTCAGAGTCATATTCGACGCTTGAGCGTGAGGGAGATGGAGGAGGGGTCGCAGGTGAAGGAGACACATTGCTCTGCCTTAGGTTTACTTCCCTTTCCTCTTTAGTGCCTTCTAACTTTTCCAAAAAAATTAATGGATGTATACCTACTTCCTTTGTTCGTTCCAGTTGAAATTTCCCTCCAGGCGCCTCCCGCTTCAAATTGTTCTTGTATTCTGAATCCTCGGGGGATTGGGTACTTTTGTACCTCTGTCACTAATTTCTCATCTTCAATAGGCGTGAACGTTTCACCTTCCATAATAATATCCCAACACGAGACAATAAAAAAAGTAGCAATCCGCACCGGATGAGGTCTTGACAGGGACTGACGGAAATCGACTTTGCTTCTGCCGCGCGACTTTATAGCGTGACTGCAGATTCCGAGGTGTTGCGGATTTTATCGCCTGGCGGCTGGCGCCAGTCGCCCGACGAAAATATCCGGCACCCGAACCGAGCTACGTTCGGAACGCTTGTCGGCGGTCCCGCGACACTTGCCGCGCGATATCATCGCACGCGAAAAAGACGCGGCTCGACAGCCACCGGAACCGAAGCCTATAGACTGCCAGGTGCTCGGTGAATTGGTGGCCCTATAAAGGGTAGTTTTCAAAGAGCGGCGAGCGTCCGATGGTGAGACAGATTCTTCAGGCGGGCAGAGCCGGCGACCTGGCGGAGTCTCTTCAGGCAAGCAGAGCGGGCGACCAGTGCAGGGTGTGATCAGTTGGACGATCAGGCGTAGATTGATTCTAGCGGTGCGCGCCTGCTGATCTATACCTGTCGCCAGGTGAGTCGCCGCCCAATTAGCGCGCGGGCAGGTGTTAGTCCGCGCTGGTAGCCGCAAGTGGCGGAGGAGACGCCACAGGATTCCCTCGCTTCCAGACGGAGTCGGTAGAGGGGGTCTTATCTGAAATAGAATTTCAAAGTGAGAGGAAATGTTCAAACAATGTAGGGGGCGTTTCTTTGACGAAATTGAGGTAATCCTCTTTCCGACCTTAGAGCACTTGTATTCTAAGACATCAATGATGTTCATGAGGCCAACCACTTCGGGCGTCTTCATTTTCTTTGGGTTCTTCTTTGGTGATACAGGCGCTCTTTTCGGATACCTCGAGCACCCTTTCAGAGAACCGAGCAATCCATTGCCCCGCTCTGTGCACGAGGAAAAGAATTCTGAAAATTTAAGGAGGCAACTTTACTTAAATTAGGGTACAACAGGTGAAAATTGAAAATATGATAAGCGCCGTTCCAATCCTCTTTCCGACCTTGTGAATAGCACTTGTACTCTAAGACATCAATGATGTTCATGAGGCCAACCACTTCGAGCGTCTTCATTTTCTTTGGGTACCTCTTTGGTAACACAGGCGCTTTTTTCTGCCACCTCCAGCACTCTTTCAGAAAACCTAGCGATCCATTGCCCGGCTCTGTGCACGAGGAAAAGAATTTGAAAAATTAAGAAGACAACTTTACTTAAATTAAAAGAAAGTTTAGACATTGACAATGACAGATAAATAAAGAAGGATAATCCTTATCCTTCTTTATACTTACGTATATAATTTACTTACTTCGATCGAGTGTGGACACTACATCCAAAATCGCCGATTTTAACTTGGCCACTTTCCCCAATTAACAGATTCTCGAGCTTCAGATCCCGATGAATGACATTCAGGTCATGACAATATTGAAGCGCAGCTGTTATGTCTGCCATGTATTTGGCGGATCCTCTTTCCGACCTTGTGAATAGCACTTGTACTCTAAGACATCAATGATGTTCATGAGGCCAACCACTTCGAGCGAGTTTTGGTCTGTGCTTACACAGATAACTTTTTAAAAAAAAGTTTTATTGATTCACAAAAAGAAATATATTTGATATAAATTTCAATACAATAAACTCAAATGAAATAAAGCGAACAACACGGGGACTAATCGACTGCCAGTCCACAGTGGAAGACAGATCAAGAGTGAGGCAAGTGAGAGTCGCAAAATATGGGGAACACATATTTTGCAGAAAGTGCTGATAAACAAAACGTGACTTGTTGATGAGCACATTGCGGTGATAAAAATAAAAAATATGAGGG